GGGTGAAGGTTCCAACCTGTTTTCTCCCCGCAGCTGCAAAGCCTCGGAGCGCAAGAGCTGGGGGGGCAAAGCCGAGGGGAGGGGCCGAGGGGCGGCCAAGGAGAAGACCCTGGAGTGTGGGCAGATTGTGTGGGGTTTGGCCTTCAGCGCCTGGCCCGGGGGGGGACACGGCGAGCCCGGCTGTGCTGGGGGGTTGCCCTGCCTCATCTTGGCCACCGGCCTCAACGACGGGCACATCAAGGTCTGGGAGGTGCAGACAGGTGGGTGGCCCTTTGCTCCTGGCTTCTCCCCATCCCCTGTGGGGAAGAGATCCCATCTCCATCCTTCCCCGGATCCTTTCCCAGGAGCAGAGGGGCACAGCACTCAGCAGGTCCCCCTCTCTGGTCCCCTCTTGGCAGGACATCTCCTGTTCAGCCTGGTGGGGCACCAGGACGTTGTCAGGGACCTGAGCTTCGCTCCCAACGGAAGCCTGATCCTGGTGTCTGCCTCAAGGGACAGGACCTTGCGTGTCTGGGACCTCAGCAGAGATGGTAGGGGGACGTGGGGACATCTCCAGGGCTAGGTCAGCCCTGGCTGAGGCTGGAAAGAGGGGGTAGAAACCCACCTTGGTGGGGGAGGGGGTCTTTGGGGACAGCGCTGGGACACGGAGCTGAGCCATCCCCTTCCAGGTGGGGCCTGGGAGGTGCAGGAGGGGGTTGCAGGTAGGCAGAAAACTTGGGATCTGCTCAGGGGAAGCCCCCAGCCCCTTTTCTCAGGGAAAAGAGGGGAGAGCAAGGACAGGGCCTAGCACTGCCCCCCCTTTCCCCCCCTCTCCTGACTGCCGTGTCTGCTGTCCCCAGGGCGGCAGGTCCAGGTGCTGTCGGGCCACGTGCAGTGGGTCTATTGCTGCTCCATCTCCCCAGACTGCAGCATGCTCTGCTCTGCTGCTGGAGAGAAGTCGGTGAGTCCTGCTGGGTGGGATCCATCTTTTTTTACCCCACCCCTCAGCCTTCCATGTGTCCCCCCCCCCCCCACCAATGCAAGAAGCCCTTTCTGCGAGAAGGACCCAGGTCACCTTTGCTCCTCCAACCACCCAGGCTGGGTGGCTTCTTTTAAACCCTGGGCTGATTCCCAGCCTGAGCCCCTGCCCGTGTCCTGCAGGCACTGCTGTGGAGCATGAGGTCCTACACCCTGATCCGGAGGCTGGAGGGCCACCAGAGCAGCGTGGTGTCCTGTGACTTCTCCCCGGACTCGGCGCTCCTTGTCACCGCCTCCTACGACGCCTGTGTCATCATGTGGGACCCCTACACTGGGGAGCAGCTGAGGACACTGCGGTGGGGAGCTGGGGGGTGCTGGGGGGGTCAGGGATGGGGTGATGCCACAGGGGTTTGTTGGGATTGAAGGTGGCTTTCCCTCCTAGCTGGGTATGGCCACCAGCTCTGCCCTGTCCCCAGGGGTTAAAAGGCTGGGGGGGGGTCAGAGAGGAGCAACCAAGTTGAAGAGGCTGGAGAACAAGTCCTAGGAGGAGAGGCTGAGGGAACTGGGATTGTTTAGTTAGGGGAAGAGGAGGCCGA